CTCTCTCTCTCTCTCTCTCTCTCTCTCTCTCTCTCTCTCTCTCTCTCTCTCTCTCTCTCTCTCTCTCTCTCTCGTTTTCTTTCTTTCTTTCTTTTGTGGGCACATGCATCAGCATTTGATGTGAAAATCTCTCTCATGGTCAGGGTGAGAAATGGAAAACGCAATCTTTCAGGGAGAACAGAAGAAGACAAGGTGAGTTTTTTTGCAGGTAGTGCCAGGCCCAAGTGTCAGCATTTGATGTGAAAATCTCTCTGATGATCAGGGTGGGAATTGGAAAACGCAGAGTCTTTGAGGGAGAAGGTGAGGTAAGGTAAGGTGAGTTTTTTTTGTTCTTTTAAAAAGAGGCCTTCAGAATTTAGTCAGGGACTTGTTTACCTCAGCGGGTGACTCATCTGTCTGCGGGTACTTCAAAACTCCCAAGAGGCCGTACCACCTGGGTGCGAACCCCAGGTCCGGCAACTATGAACTCTGTGAATGTGTCTGTAGGGTGTGTTTTAACCTTTAAGCATGCATACTGAAACGGTTTTCACCTTTTAGCAGTAGCGGATGCAGTACCCAGGGTTCGATCCCTAGACCTCACCCTACCCATGTACAGTATCTGTGTAGACCCCGAGAATTGAACCTGTGACCTGTGTATTCGTAGGCAGTTGGTAGACCTGTCGTAGGTCCATAGACAGCAGGGGTTCGATCTGTAGGTCTATAGCGTAGGAGTCTTAGTGAGTTCTGGAAGCTTAGCTGTAGACCTTCTAGAAGGTAGGCAAGTGGGCAAGTGGTCAAGCGGTGAGGCAAGTGGTGGACTAAACCGCAGTGCAACAGCAGTGCAACGGCGGTAGGATAGCGGTGAGTCCACAGTCAGTCATCGGAAGGTCCAGTCAGTCCCAGTCCGGTCCAGCAAGTACCACAGGGGGACGGTAAGCACCAAGGGCCGAGGGCAAAGGGCAGACCAACGAGTTTCTGAAGTATAAACCAAGAGGCAGCGCCCAGCCATTCATTCATTCCTGCGTGAGCCATGCGGAAGCGCTGCCACAGCGACTTGTGCAAGGAGGTCTGCAGATGAGCCCGGAGGACGCAGTGGGCTAGAGAGAGGGAGTTAGCATAGCGATAGGGTAGATGCAGCGACACCTGCCATAGCTGTAGTTAGTAGTGAGTGTGTGTGTGTGTTCGAGTGTTAGAGTGATGCGTGTGGGATATCCAGGGTGATCCAGTGTATGTGAACAGTGAGATGTTTGGGCGCTGAAGTCGCCATAGCCAATTGAGAGTGAACTCGTATCTGAAAGCCATATCTCTGAGTTTTGAGTGGGCGCATGTCGCCAGTATGCTGCGTTGCTGTTTACATGCATGAAAAGTGTGTTTGAAAACGAGTCTGATTGCAATACATGTCACAGCCAGTATATTCCTTGCCTCCGCTGAAATCTCCGAAGTTATATTTTGTGTGCCCACTAGGGCCACTACCCAGGTTCTCTCTGTTCGTAAACCACCACTTCCTTTCCCCCTGTTGGGAAAATGGGAAAATACTAAAATAGCCTACTCCTAAAAATTCAGGGGCTGGGCCAGACGTCGACGACCCTTGATAAATCTCATTGGCGGCCGTCGTTTCGTTTCGGCCCTCCGAAAAGATCGGGTACCCCACAATGTGAATACGAGGCCCAGGTAGTGGTGGTTTAAGAAGGTTGTGCGGGAGAGTGGGTTCTCTCTGTTTTTACTTGCGAGGATATGTTGTGCGATTCCTTACCGCCAACTCTGATCGGAGAACACGGCGGAATCATTCCGCTCTTTTTCACGTAGAAAAAGCCATTCCTACGCGGAGAATCTTGTGCAAAGGATGTGTTAGGCATTTATTTTACATCGATGATCGAACAGAAAAAAAAACGGGTGCAGCAAGATCTATGGCATCCGTGCATGTGCACACTTTTGTGGGTTGGAATCCACAGCCATGCATGCACACACTTTTTCGGCCACAGGTTAGACCCCCCTGCAGAAGAGGTTAACGATCGGGTACCCCACAAAAGCGCGGGCAAGCATTCACACCATAACTCGTAAGCCACCGAAAAAAAAAAAAAAAAAAGACCAGATGGAAATCCAACCGGCAAAA